TTAAATTTCTAAGGGAACAATTGCACCCCGCCTTCCTCGATCAATCTTTTAAATTATACAGTAAAAAATCACAAAACCAAACCAAAAATCATGATTTTTATACTATTTGATTTTGGTTTTAATTTTAATTTTTTTAAAAAAAAATCATAAAATACAGTTCGATTTATCTTATATTAAAAATTGAACTGAAACGAAATTATTATATAGCATTCAACTTATACCCAGAAATCCATACTCTGAAGCAATATTTTCCATCAATGATGATGAGGATGTGGAATATGTGCCTTCATGCCTTGTATCCCAAAAGATACCAATGAGCTAATTATACTATTTTTTTAATCATGAGACATTTAAATCATTAATAATGTGATCACATAGTTGTCATTAGGGGTGAACAAAATTTACTTTGATTTAAAAAAAACCTTAATCTTTCTGATTCGATTTGATTCAAAATTTCATCTCGAACTGATTTCGAGTTGTAATTTTATAAACTCGATTCAACTCAAAAAAATTCAAATGCAATTCGAGTTATAAAATATAACTCGAATATCTCTTTAGTTTTAGTAATTAGTGGATTAATTTTCATGTTTGAGTTGAGTCTATCGATTCTATAAAATATATGTATATCACATATGAAAAATATGAAGAAATATATATATATATATATATATATATATATATTGTATATAGTTATAGAAACCGATTTAAATTGGAATCAAATAGTATCATAATATTATAAATATTTAAAATTAAATTTAAACAGAAACTAGAACAACTTAACTCAAAAAGTTTCAAATCAAATTTGAGTTATAAAATGACCCGTCAACTTAAATAACTAAAAAAATTAACTCGACTCAATCGAACACTTACCCCTAATTATTTTCTTCTTTTCAGAGAAGATCTTGTACTCTTTTTAGTATAGTTATCCTTCGATTGTCACTTGTTGATTGTTGTTCACATAAAGTTAAATATCAAAATGTCTTTTAAGCTTTGTCTCGGGGAGGAGTATAACATACAATATATTAATTGCCCAAGAAGTCATCCGCTCAATGCGAAACAAGAAAGGCAAGGTAAGATGGATGGCAATAAAAATTCATTTTGAAAAACCCTGTGATAGAGAATCAAACTGTCTCGGAATGGCCCTACTTTGTTTCATCTACTTTTTGTTGACGATCTCGTACCATTCGCTGAAGCATACCCTAAACCCTAAATTATCATAATCAGTCCTCATCTAGAGAGTAATCTAAAAATTTTGTGAAAGCTTTGGACATAAAGTCAACCTTACCAAAATAAATATATTATTCCAAAGAGTGACAAATCCAAATTGAAATTAGTAAAGATTTCCAATTCTCACAAGTTTACAACCTTGGTTGATACCTCGGGGTTCTATTATTCCACCAAAGAGTAACATGAGATACTGTTAAAAAGTAAAAATTAGTCTGAAGAATTTTCACTTCATTTCTCAATAATTGAATACAAGGTACACCCAAATATATATACAAGCTGAAGAAACTACCTACAATGCGAACTGTCTATAACAACCTAACTAGTCAAAAACTTAACACTTCCCCTCGAGCTGGTGGGTAAAAATATTTTTAACCCCTAGCTTTGAAAGTAAAAATTCATGCTGATGTCTTCCTAACGCCTTTGTCGAAACATCGGCTGATTGCCTGCCAGTAGGAAGATACTCGGTCGAAATAAGCCCTTCTTGGATTTTTTCCCCCTGATGAAGTGACAATCTATCTCTGTGTTTTGTTCTTTCATGAAACACTGGATTCACCGCTATTTGTATCATTGTCTTGCTATCGCAATACAATTTCATAGGCTTCTTATTTGTTAAACCAATTTCAGCAAGTAAACCAGTCAACCAAACAATTTCTACTGCAGTTGCAGCCATTCCTCTGTACTCTGCCTCAGCAGAAGATCTCGCTACTGTACATTGCTTCTTCGACTTCCATGAGATTAAAGAATCTCCAAGCTTAATACAGAAGCCTGTACTTGACTTTCTTGTTACTTGGCATGCTGCCCAGTCAGAATCACAATAAGCTTCCATTTGGTTTTAACCCGACGCCTTCAATAGCAACCCCTGTCCCAGATTCTTCTTGATGTATCTCACACTTCGTAATGAAGCATCCAAGTGAGACTATTTTGGTTAATGCATAAATTGACTAAGATAATGACAACATACATAATGTCTAGTCTCGTATTTGTTAGATAAATCAGTCTACCAATAAGCCTTTGAAACCACATTTTGCCTTCTAGCAGAATATCTTCACTATGCTGCTGCAATGTTTTATCAAATTCTACAGTCATTAGCTTTAAATTCTGCTCTAAAGGAGTTGAACTCAGCTTTGCTTCACCAAAACCAATTTCACCAAATAGTTCTAGTGCATACTTTCTTTGGTTTAGCAAAATTCCTTCCTTAGATCTCAACAATACAATTTCAAGTAAATATCTCAGCTCACCCAAGTCTTTGATTTTGAAGTTTTTGTTCAAAATGTGTTTCAAATCAGTGATCATTTCTACAGCATTCCCAGCTATTAATAAGTCATCTACACAGATGACCATTACCACTATTTTTCCTTATTGTCTTTTAGTGAACAAGGAATAATCACGTTTGCTTTGCTTATAACCCTCCTTCAACAATGCCTCGGTTAATCAAATATTCCATTGTCAAGATGCCTGCTTCAACCCATATAAAGACTTTTGTAGCCGACACACCATGTTCTCCCCCTAGATACAAAACCCTTGAGGCAATTCATGTAAAATCTCCTCATGTAAGTCTCCTTGCAAAAAGGCATTGTAGACATTCATTTGACATAAAAACCAATTATTCAAAGAAGCAATAGCAATAATTGTACGAATATTGACCATTTTAGTAACAGGACTAAAGGTATCAAGATAATCAATACTCTAGCGTTGATTATAACCTGTAGGAATTATAGAGATGATTTGTTACCATTCCTATAGAGATATGATTTGTTACCATTCCTATAGAGATATGATTTTGTAAATAGATTTCTACAATCCCTTATTTTAAGGGATCATATCCTAAGATTATTATTTTTCCTTTCTTAGAGTTTGTTACTTTAGAGAGATATTTTGTATATAAATATGTAATCTGCCATATTGAAAAGAATAAGAAATTACAGAGAATTACTTTGAATTCTACATGGTATCAGCTTAGGTTACGGTTTCTTTCCAATCTAGATGATGTCCACAACTTCTTCTCCTACTCCGGAGATCACTTCAAATCCAAAAAAATTTTCTGGTTCTGCTACTCAATCAGAAGGTAATATGGTCATGAAAGAACCAGAAGGTAAACCTCATGCTACAGTTTTTTTCTCCTCCCAGTCGTCCCCTAATTGGATCCTCGATTCTGGTGCTACGGATCATATGACTGGTAATAAAGATTTGTTTTGCAATTTTTTCCAAACTTTGGTAAAGCTGTCAAAACGGCTGATGGTTCTTTGTGCAAAATAGAAGGACATGGCACTGTTATTCTCACTGACTAGATTGTACTTAAAAATGTCTTCTTCATACCAAATCTGGCTTGCAATCTCGTTTCCGTTAGTAAACTTTCCACCGACTTGCACTGCTTTATAATTTTTAATGATATTAATTGTACTTTGCAGGCACTGAACTCGAAGAAGATGATTAGTAAGGCCAGCTTGCAGAATGGTCTCTACATTCTTCCTGCCTCTACTAAAACCAAAATAACGAAATCTTTCACCGCTTTAGAAAAAGTTAATAATTTTATGTTATGGCACTATCGTTTAGGTCATCCTAGTTTTCACTATCTTGCAAAAGTTTTTCCTGCTCTATTCATTCATAAAAGGCCAAATTCTTTTTCTTGCAAAGTTTGCTCTCTTGCCAAACATACTAAATCAACTTATTCTCCTTCTACATATAAGCCTTCTCACCCTTTTGCTTTGATCCACAATGATATTTGGGGTCCTTCTCAGGTGAAGAATGCTGATAATTGTAAGTGGTTTATCACTTTCATTGATGATCATAGTAGGATAACTTAGACTTATTTGCTAAAAGATAAATCTGAAACTGCAGGTGTTTTCACCCAATTTTATAACATGGTTCTCACTCAATTTGGGTCTAAATTCAGCTCTTTAAATCTGATAATGGCAGTGAATTTTTGCTAAGTCTTTGGGTGCGTTTTTCAGGGAAAGGGCATAGTTCAGATTAGTTCTTGTGTTGACACCCCACAACAAAACGGTATTGCCGAAAGAAAAAATAGATACCTCCTTGAAGTTACTCGTTCTCTTCTATTTACCACCAATGTTCCAAAATATTTGTGGGGGGAAGCCTATTAACTGCCACATATTTAATTAATCAAATGCCTAGTAAGGTTTTACAATTTCAAACACCTCAATCTATATTTCTGCAATACTTTCCCCATTTTAAACCTATCTCCTCCATTCTTCCACTTAAAATATTTGGTTGTACTGTTTTTATCCAAAACATTGCTCCTAATAAGTCCAAGTTAGATCCTAAATCATTAAAGTGTGTACTGGTTGGGTATTCTTCACTTAAGAAGGGTTATAAATACTACCATTCTCCTTCAAAACGATTTTTTACCACTATGGATATAACATTTTATAAGCAGGATCCCTATTTCACTCAGGCTGAAATTCAGGGGGAGACATGGAAGGATTTTCAGCCACATCAGGTATCTCCTCCTCTTCATTCTCAACCTTCAGAATTGCCACCAATTTTGTCCTTACCTACAGATTTGTCACCTGTAACTACTCTCATTGATCCACCGGTAGTACCTATCATTACTTCACCCATACCCACTTTAAATACCCTTCCTGAAAATACACCTACTCCCATTCAAAATATTCCACAAACAACACCAATCAAACAGCTCCGTTTCTATACAAGGAAAAGAAAACATATTCTTGAGGTTGTTTTGCAATCTGATGCTTGCCGAGAATTGGATTTGGGTCCAGCTGCCGAAATAGAAGAAAAAATCAGTAAGTCCACTTCCCCTACTCTAGATGACTTCCCTATTGCTATTAGAAAAGGGGTTAGATAGTGCACCAAGCATCTTATTGAAAAATTTGCTGGTTATAATTCATTGATGCCGTCTTTTCAAGCATTTACAGCAAACTTGGATAGAGAACAGGTTCCCACAAGCATAGCTGAAGCTCTAAAGGATTCAAAATGGAGAAGGGCTGTTGAAGAGGAAATTTGTGCACTGGAGAAAAATGTTACTTGGACTGCTACGGACCTTCCTCAAGAAAAAAAAGCTGTTGGCTGTAAATGGATCTTTAATGTAAATGGATCTTTAATGGTAGCATCCAACGACACAAAGCAAGACTAGTGGCCAGAGGCTTTACACAAACATATGGGATAGATTTCACAGAAACTTTTGCACCTGTGGCGAAGCTGAATACTGTTCGAGTACTCCTAAGTTTGGTTGTAAATTGCGATTGGAAATTATACTAACTTGATGTAAAAAACGCTTTTCTTAATGGCAAGCTAGAAGAAGAAGTCTATATGAAGTTGCCACCTGGCTTAAAGTGTGTTGAAGGAAGTAACAATGTGTGCAAGCTCAACAAGTCTCTATACGGGTTAAAACAATCACCCAGAGCTTGATTCGAGAGGTTCACTAAAGTCATCCTAAAAAACGGCTACAAGCAATCCCTCGCCGATCACACTCTTTTCATCAAGGTACCTTCTACAAATAAGAAAGCTATCCTTATTGTGTACGTGGACGACATAATTCTTACCGGAGATGATGAAGAATAGATTTGCAATTTGAAGAAGTTATTAAATAAGGAATTCGAAACCAAGGACTTGGGAAAGCTAAGGTATTTCCTAGGAATGGAGGTGGCAAGGTCAAAAGAAGGACTTGTGATCAACCAAAGAAAATATGTACTTGATTTACTCAAAGAAACTGGTTTTCTTGGTTGTAAGCCGATTGATACACCAATGGAGGCAAGCTTGAAATTTAACAAAGAATATGGGTCCTTGGTAGACAAAGAGAAATTTCAAAGATTAGTTGGGAAACTAATTTATTTATCCTTGACAAGGCCAGATATAACATTTCCTATAAATGTGATAAGTCAACACATGACTAATCCTACTGAAGAGCATATGGCAGCATCAAATAGAATTCTCAATGTACTTGAAGAAAACTCCAGGACACGGTTTAATGTTTAAGAAGACAGAAGACAGAACTGTTAAGATCTTTATAGATTCTAGTTGGACCGGAGACCTTACTGAAAGGAGATTTACTAGTGGCTATTGCACCTTTGTTTGGGAAAACCTTACAACTTAGAGAAGTAAGAAACAATCTATCGTTTCAAGAAGTAGTGTTGAAGCTGAATTTAAAGCACTAGCATTGGGAATATGCGAAGGAATTTAGCTACTTAAACTACTGAAAGAACTTGTCACTAATCAAGAGAATCACTTTAAAGTTTTGTGTGATAATCAATCTGCTATTCAAATTGCCAAGAACCCAGTTCAACATGATCGGACAAAGCATGTTGAGATTGATAGGCACTTTATTGCTGATCAAGTTAACAAAAGACAGCCACACACTTCCTTCATTCCTTCAAGAACAAGTTGCAGACATTCTTACTAAGGCTTTGCCAAGCCTGTTTTCAATAAATTCCTATTCAAGCTGGGATTATACAATGTATATTCTCCAGCTTGAGGGGGATTTTGTAAATAGATTTCTACAATCCCTTATTTTAAGGGATCATATCCAGGATTATTATTTTTCCTTTCTTAGAGTTTCCTACTTTAGAGATATTTTGTATATAAATATGTAATCTGTCATATTGAAAAGAATAAGAAATTACAGAGAATTACTCTGAATTCTACATAACCCTTAGCCGCCAAACGAGCTTTTTACCTCTCCACCTCACCAGAAGCCTTACGCTTGACTTTATAGACCCATTTGCAACAATTGGAACCTTCCCTTGAGGTAAAGGAACTACAACCCAAGTATTGTTAGACTCTAGATCCTGAATTTCCTTGTGCATAGAGTTTTCCATAAAGGGTTAAGCATAGCTTCAGAAAAAGATTTAGGCTCAACAATTCAAGAGGAAAAAAATAAAAGCTTGTGTTTTAACAGGTACATGCGAATAAGAAAACGAAACAAAGACTGAACTAGAAGGTAGATAGATTGGTAAGAACATACGAATCCTGTAGCCAAGAGAGTGGTTTGGAAACCCTAGAAGACTTACGAGAACATGTAACTCAAGGGTAATAGAATAATACCTAGGGAAAAATGTCTCAACAATAATTCAGAAGGAACATCTAGCGCAGTGGGAATACTTGTTGAAACAGGAGAAGACTGAAACGAGGGAGATTGTAAAATAAGAGAAGGAGAATGGAATGAAAAAGATAATTGATCATCCATAACAAAGAATAAGAAAATTATGTGGTAGCATGAGGAATAACCAAATAATCTGAATCAGAAACATAAGGCTGAGAAGGGAAAAGAAGCGGAGCAGACTGAGAGGACTCGTGAAAAGGAAAAACATTTTCCCTGAAAGATACATCTTGATTAACAAAAAACTGCTTAGTTTCCAGTAAACAAGACATGCCCTTTTTAGTATTAGAATACCCCATGAACACAGCAAGAATGACCCTAGAAGCCAATTTATTTTTGTTATTAAGAACAGTAGCAAAACAAAGACAACTAAATACCCGTAAATGTGAATAAGAAGGTTTTTTGCTAAATAAGCTTCAAGAGGTGATTTCAATTAAGAATGAAGAAGATAAATGATTAATAATGTAGCAAGCAGTTAAATGCATTCACCCTAAAATTTAACAGGAACTTAAAATGGAACCAAAAAGCCCTAGCAACTTCCGAAGATGTCTATGCTTACGTTCAACCACACCATACCATTTTGTTGTGATGTGTAAACACATGAACTTTGGTGAAACATCCCAAGAGAAAAAAACAATGGACTACTTAGAGTTAAAAAACTATTCCCATTATCACTACGATGATACTAACACTTGCCAAAAACTGAGTTTTAAGGAGAGCAAAAAAAATTACAAAAAGTAACAATGATCAGTCTTAATTTCAACAAGTAAACCCACAAGACTCTAGTACAATTATCCACTATGGTAAGAAATATGTGGCCACTATGGGTGGAAATTCTATAAGGTTCCCAAAGATCAACATGAAGAAGAGAAAAAGGCTTTTGAGACCTTGAGGTACTGACAGGAAAATGACTTCTACACTATCTAGCCATAGGAATCAAACAATTTTTAAGACAATCAAATCAAGCTTAGTATTTTGAAGATAAGGCAAATGATGCAATTGAGGCAAAAGGGCATGCCCTAAACGAGCATGCCATATATTTGTTTTATTAACAACATAGGTCATACGTGAAGAGATGTTATTATTTTCAAATGGAAAATGGGAAGAAGGCAAACCCGAAGCAAGACCCTTAGATGAAGACTTGAACACGTAAAGACCACCACACTGTCTACCAATCTGCCTCATCCTTCCAGTAGAGAGGTCCTGCATAACATAAAAAATCGAGATAGAAAATGACAACACATCCAAGATCACGAGTAACTTCGAGATTGAAATATTATGATTGAAAATTCGAACAAACAAAATGTTATGAGGTTACAAACATGATCAAAGGAAACTGAACCAGTGTGCGTAATTGGAGAAATATTATCATTTGGTAGATGAACAAAGCGGGAAATAGAGGGACAAGCAACAGGGTTATTCAGGGCAGAAAAATCAGACAATATGTGATTTTTAGCACCGGTATCCAAGACCCAATCCACCATTTTAGCACTCAAAGAATCTCGAGAAACAATACATACCATATTAACTGCAGGTTCATGAGAAGGCCCTTTGTTCAACAATGCCAAAAGCTGATTATACTGATCCTTGGTGAAGACATGTGCAGTCGAAAAAGAGTCGTGACTCATAGGAGAGATCGAGGAAACATCAGCATTAGCATGATCAAGAGATAAGGCAACCTGAGAAACTTTCTTCCTGTCGAACTTGAAATCGAGGGGAAACCCAGTGAGTCAATAGCAGGACTCTTTATTGTGGCCACGAACATGAAAATGATCACAATTTCCCATGAAACGTTGGCGAGAAACATCATTAGTAAACATAGTTCTTGAATTAGAAACAGTGAAAAATCGATGCGATTCTTCCTGAATGACCATTGAATAGGGTTGATTCTGGTAGGATTCGTATAGCATAATAGGATTCGTTGAGCCCCATAAGAAACTGAAACAACTGCAAAACATGCCTCAGATTCAGATGAGCTTCCTCACATTGATAGGAAGCGAAAGGAACTAAGGTTCTATGTTCATCCCATAACAGTTTCAAACCATTAAAATAACTAGAGATCGATGAATCACCTTGAGTTAAAGTAGTTGTCTCACGATGAAGATAAAAAATCTTTGTCACATCGATCTTGTTGAAGTGTTCCCTCAAGCCTTCCCAAACGAGCGCAGCGCTTGACGCAAAAACAATTTCAGTCGACAACTCCTTGCTCAAGGTATTAAGGATCCAGGAGAGAACAATGGCGTTGCAACAATTCCACTGAGTGCGTAGCTCCAACTCCTAATCTTCCCGTTGTCAACATCCATCCACAAAATCGGACTTGTTTTTAGCCAAAGAGCGATTTGCATCGAATGGCTCCACACATTATAATTCTCAGATCGAACCAATTGATGTCAGACGAGCAGCGATCCAGGAGTATCTGAAAGATGTAAAAACAAAAGACTATTGGGATTGAGTAAAATCCCCTCAATCGTGGAAGGCATGGTGGAGAGAACAAAGGAAAACAACGGAACAGCAAAAGAGAAAATTAGGGCACCAACAGAACCTTATCAGAAAGAAAAATGAAAGATGGGCCAAAAATCAACAAAGGAAATGTTGAAAGCCCACTAACGAAATAGCAAACCTGAAAAAATTATCAGTTGATGCCATGTTAAAAAGTAAAAAATAGTATAAAGAATTTTCACTTCATTTCTCAATAATCAAATACAAGGTACACCCAAATATATATACAAGCTGAAGAAACTAACTACAACGAAAATTGCCTATAACAAACTTCTAACAACCTAACTAATCAGATACTTAACAGATACGGTTATTTGATTAAAAAGGTCCATGATTGGCTATTGGGGTGGGCAACTATATCATTTATACTGGCTGGAAACACCTTTGGGGTTAAGTATTAAGATCAATGTACAAGATGACAGAAACAGTCCCGAAAACAATAATGCGACGAGATTGTGCCGATCGTGAAAAGAAACTTGCACAGTGTGGGGCGAAGTTAGGGAAGGGATGGTATGGAATATCGGAGATGGATCAAAGGTAGACTTCTGGAAGGATCCTTGACTAGGGGATCTTGAACCACTAAACCATAATCGGATGGATGGAATGTGTGCCATGCAGCACCAAACTCACAAACCGTCCAATCCATGAAGGGGAGTGGCAGTGGGAAAGGCTGCACAACAAACTAATAGGAAAGGACCGACAGCTTGTGGTGGAGTAATCCGGAATGAACAAGGCATACGGATAAAAGGATTTCCCGAAGTTGTGGGAATTTGCTCAATGGTGGATGCACAACTTTGGGGAATTTATGGGATTACGTCGATTAATTGTCGAAACAGATAACAAAGATGTATGGACAATGCTAAACAAAGGAACCAGCACCACTCGCATCTCTTCCATGGAGCCGCATATGCCAGAACTGATGAACCGGGAGTGGGAGCTACGCTTTAATCATATACCCCGAGAAGGAAATACTGTAGCAGGCGAAACTGGCACGGGACCATCCCTTTCCCTTCGTATTCCACATATTTACAGAACCACCAATGCCAATCACGACCTACTGCAGGAACAACTCAACGCCACTGTAACAACTTTGCCTAGCTGAATAGTCTATAATAGATTTTACTCAGTCATTCAAAAATATATATATCAAAATGTTTGTATTTATCTCTTCATTATTTTTTTCAATTTCATCTTTTATGAAGTTTATTTAAAATCGATGAAAACTCATCTAAAAAATCAACGTTTTAATATTATGAATAGGGCCGGTCTTGATTAGTTTTTAGTTTGGGACGAAAATAAAAAATGGACTTCTAATTTAAAAAGAAATTTAAGAAATGTGTAATATAAAATTTATATTATTTTTTTATTAAATTAAACAAATAGTAGCCAACTAGTGTTGGCACAAGTGGTTAGGATTCAGAAATATGAGCTTTTAAGGTTAAGTTTGAATCCTACCACCGTCATTTTTGATGGGCAATCTGTAAATCCCAATTGGATCTTAGGTATGCCTTGACTCTGGACTAGGGATCTACTCCTAACCTAAATGCTATAGTACCAAAAAAATATTAAACAAATAGTAATTCATTACAATATCAAAAATATCAAAAAAATATTTAAGCATATAAATACTTATAAAAAATTGTCTTTGAGCATTTCTTGATATAATATCATTGATAATAGTGTCAACATAAATATTTTCCAACATATTTTTCTCAAAACATAATAAAGCATTTGGAAATAAAAGAACGATATTATCTAGAATTTGGAAATATATAAAGAATCAAAAGAAATAATTTGAAAACATGATCTACTTAAAATTTTAACTTCAATATGATTCAAGCAACACAATTGATTACAAAAAATTGTGAATTCATATTTGTGAGAAATATGAGAAATTAAAACGTGTGAGTAAAATTTTCAAAGGAATTGTGAAATATGGAAGATAAAAGAAACATGCTAATTATATTTAATGTTTCCTCCCATTGAATTTTGAAGAGAAAAAATAATGTTAATAAAATTTTCGATTGATATGGAAAATTGGTAAAATGATTTGATGAATTGATGGTAGAAATTTGAAAATACTCGAACTAAAAAAATTTAATTGGATTTTTTTAATTTTGGAAAAGAAATATTAAATTAGAGTTGTATGAGAAATTGAACAATCTATTAATATTAATATTAATATTAAATTATAACAAATTACACTTTAATAAATTAATGGACCCCATAATTTTATTTTACATTTTTTAAAAAAGTTTATAAAAAAATTAAAGAAAAATATTATGCTATTTTTTTTAATTTGTGGGTCTTAAGAGGGCGTCTCTCATGTCCTAGCCCAGGAGTAACCCTGATTATGCTAATTTTAAAGAATGATTCTCATCATAAGGGACAAACGTAATATTTTATGTTAGATGGGATGAACTCGAACTTATAAAATTTTAGGGGTGAATAAAATTTTAGGGGACGAAAAAGATTTTCAATAGAAAATACATAGAAATAATCTAAAATATATATTAATTTTATATTTTTAGAGGGTAACCGCTCCTACCTAGGTTCATCCCTGCTTCTCATCATACAAAAATTTAAACAAACACTTTAAATTTCTCAAATCGAATAAAATCACAAAATCTTAAAAGTAATAGATTTTAAACAACCAGTTGGTCTTGTAGGATGAGGCACTAGATTCCTTACACAAGGTCATGAGTTCAAACAATGACATTTGCGAATAGAACAAATTGGATTGTGATAGTCGCCCTTACCTCTGCAGTAGCTGATCTAAAATAATTTGTCAATAAATCAGATATTAGGTAATTAATTCAAAAGAGAGAGAGAGAAAGAGAGGGGTAACAAAAAATCTAATCCCGGTGAAATAATAAACAATAATAAAATAAATTCGTGTGTGTTTCAAATACCCATACGATACGTTAAACGAAAACGATTATATGTAAACCAAAAAAAAAGAAGCTAAATTTGATAAAGCAGATGAGATAAGAAAATAAAAAGAACAATTATATGTTAGATAAAAAAAATGTTTTTTTTAACTTTCACGTCAATGTTAAATATTATTTAATTTCGATTCAAACATTTAAAGTCTATAGCTAATCAGTAATTTATAATTATAAAAGTGCAAGCGGTGGCAGAACTACGTTCAACACGAGAAGGTCTCATTTTTTTTAAGTCAATATTTTTTATTAAGTTAATTTGATTATAAAATAATACATGTTTTAAATACTTTTAACTATTTGAAAATAAACGCTCAGTTATCCTACTATAAATATTGGTGATTGAACACATAATCTCTAGGAACAACAATAATTCTTTTAACCACTGAGATAAGTTTGTCTGTTCTTGCGTAAGTGAATTATAACCCTCTATTATTTGAGTTTTTTTTTCAATTAATTACACAGCCCATGTCTTATATTTGGGTAAACTACAAGTTTAGTAACTCAACTATCAGTTTTGTTCTATTTTGGTCATTCAACTATTTAGTTGTTTCAAAATCATATAAAATATTACGTTTAGTTTCATTTTAATCACATACTGTTAATAAACTAAGGATGATGTTAGCGTGTGACTAATGTCATGTCTTGATTTTTTTAAATGTCACTTCAATAATTTTTAACAATAGGTAACCAAAATACAACTTTAAGTATGAGTTTGAAAAAAAGTAGTTGAATGATCAAACAAAACAAAAATTGATAATTTGGGTATTAAACATGTTTACCCTATATTGTTCTGCACTTATATTTTGAATATGGTTTAAATTTTATTATACTCTTTGATGGACCGTTTATGAAAAATATCTTAATTAAAAAACAAATGTTATAAAAGATAAAGGGACAAAAAGAATAACTTTGGCAGTTAACTATTTCTCATAACAAGGTCTGTTTAGTCAAACATTTTTTTGGTGAAACAAATGTGGAAAAATAATTAGACAAAACTACACATCTTTTTCCTCTCTATATAAAGATCATTTCCTTCCGCTCTTAAGAGCTTCATGTTGCACACGCTGGGCACCAAGCAAGAAAAAAATCGTCGCATCTTCTTCTGCATTACATTACAAACAACCATGTAAGAAAAACCTAAACATAAGAAATAAAAATAAAAAATCAACATTATCTCAATTCATTAATATATCAGCCTTTATAAAAATAATAGTGAACTTTGTATTTAATCACACAACCATTCATTTGAGTTCCTTTTAGTTCCTCAATTATCAAAATCTTACATGAATATTTAGGTGACTAAAATGAAACTATATGAATAATTGAAGGAATAAATCTGTAGTTTACCCTAAAAAATATGGACTTACTCGCTTGGAAGAGTGAAGGAGCTGAGGGGGGATTTTGTAGAGATCTTCATCAACAGGTATGGGAGGTCGAACAACCACTCTCTTTGGACTGACAGGAACGTCGTCGTATTTAAGCTGCTTGCTATTTCTCGTGTACAGTGATATTTCGTTGGTTGTTGTTCGGTCACGTCACAGACTCTCCCTCCCACCTTCTTCTCCCTTTCGCTTACCTGCTGTATGCCACCGTCCACCATCCAATATTATCAACATATATGATACATCACGAATGGATCGAGAGCGGGTGGAGTGGCTAAAATTTTTAAATTTTTAATATATTTCAGATATTTTTTTATTAAAAATTATTTTTATCTTTTAAAATTTTACAAATACGTTTATCCTTCAAAAATTTATTGTAACATAAAACCTTGCGATTGGTAAATACAGCACACTAATAATACTGGTGATTCTGATGTGCAGCCGATAAAACAAGGCTAATAAACAAGAGACCGATTAGAGCGGTTACAGGTTAATGATAAAAGGGAAAAATGTTAAGCATATGGAAACGTTAACGTTATATGTAAAATGGGTCAAATTAAATATCGATGATAAGAAATTAAGTTGAAAGTCGAAAATATTATAAGTCGTGATAACAAAAATGTTACTCAACTTTTAAAATTGGATCAACAAAATAAGGACGGTAACAAATTTAG